TGCCTGGGGCGCGGGGCCGGCGACCGCGGCGGCGGCCGCACCCTCTCCGGCCTCCCCAGGCTCCTCCCCGACATAGGCGCCGGGGATGGTGAAGCGGTGCACGCTAGGGTCTGTGAGGTGAGTGTGCACAGGGGCTGCGCCGGCGGCCAGGTCCTCCTCGTACTGCGTGGGGCGGGGGGAATGGGGGTGAATCGGTGGTCAGGGCAACAGGGGGGAGAAATGCTCTGGGACGTGAGTGTCCGCGGGTATGCAGGTGCCCGCATGGCGTCGACGAGGTGGTGGCAATATGGTGCCTCAGCCACCCCTCCTATACGAGATGCTCGTGGGTGTTTGCACACGCCCACACTGCCAAACATAGTTCTTGTGCAATCAACCCCCCAACCCAGTTATCCCCTGTCAAGACCCCCCATCCCAACCCCCGCCCCCCACCAACCCCCGCCCCCCACCAACCCCCCGCGCCCCCCACCAACCCCGCACCAATCCAACCCACCTTCCCGCTGGCCAGGTAATTCTCAAAGTCCAGCAGGCAGCGCTCGTAGTTGAGTCGCATGTTGTAGGAGGCGGAGGTCTGCCCCGTCAGGTCCACGTCCAGGCAGCGGCAGATCTCCTTCCACTGCTTGCCGGCGGTGACGGTCTCGTACCCGCCCCGCGCGCTCACCGCCCAGAAGACGGTGTGCAGGTCGAGGTCGCGATGCGCAAAGGTGGGCACCTTGTACTTGCCCTTCAGCCCGCGGTAGAAGTTGGTCAGCAGCGTGGTGAACTCGTCGGGGGAGAGGGGCTTCAGTGCAGACAGCACCTCCGCCGCGATCTCCTGGCCGGGGCGCAGGGGGCCCGAGGGGTGGCCCAGGGACGCGAACCCCGCGCCCCTGTCCCCGCCGTCGCCGCCGGGCAGCGCGCCCAGCCCGGGCATGTGGAAGCCGCCGGGTGGGGCGACGTGGACCGCGGCGGCGGCGGAGGCGGCGGCGGCCGCCGCGGCCGCCGCCGCCGCCGCGCCGGCCTGCAGCGCCGCGAACCCCGCCGCCGCCAGGGGCGCGGAGCCCCCGGGCGAGGCCTGGCCCGTGGCCGTGTAGCCGTAGGTGGGGAAGAGGAGCGGGACCATGAGCGTCTGCAGGGGGGAGGCGGCAGCCGCCCTCTGCCAGCCGTGCACCTCCTCGTTGAAGGTGGTGTCCTCGGGGCCGGGCACCGGTTTCTGCTCGCGATGAGGGGGCGGTGGGGAGGTACTCGAGTGGAGAGCGGCACAGAGGTTGAGCCCCCCCACGATCCTCTGCACAAACCCCCTTCTCCCCCCTCCCACCAACCCAACTCACGCTCTCATAGGCGCGCAGGAGCTCCTCGGCGCGGCTGCCCTGGTGCAGCAGGGCGCGCAGGCGCGCCTCCTCCGCGTCCTGCTCCGCGTCCTCGCCGGCGCGCCGCGCGCCGCGCGCCCGCAGCGCGCGCGCGGCGGCCTGCTGCTGCCGCCGCGCCTCCTCCACGCGCCGCCGCTCGTCCTCGGGGTCCACCTCCAGGTCCCAGGGGCTCAGCGCCACCTCCTCGCCCTCGAACGCCCGGTCCCAGAGCACCACCACGGAGCGGAAGGGGTCGTAGGCCGCACGCTGGACCGGGTCGGCGCCGGGGCCGGGCGCGGCGCTGACCAGGTCCACCACCGTGCCGCGCTGCGTCAGGATGCCTGCGCGGTGGGGTGATGGTGGGTTGTCGGGTGGTGGGCATTGTGTGGATGGGGGTTTCTCTTGAGTGATCGAGGAAGGGGGAAGCCACATACGCAGGAAGACTGATTACTGGCATGGGCGTCGCCAAGGGACGGTCTTCCCTCCCTGACAGATGCAACACGAGGGCCAGTCACCGTCCACAAGCAATCCACGCACCGCCCCCTCTCCTCTTTTCTTCCCCCCCCCGGCGGTCCCTCCTCCAACTACCCACCCGACTTGGCGCGGCGCTGCGCCCGGGCCTTGATGCTGGTGGGGTGCAGGCGGAAGCGGTCGCCCGGCAGCCAGGACACTCGCATGTGCTCCACGAACGCCTCGGTGGGCACCAGGAAGTCTGGCAGGCCCGGGTCGGCGGCCAGGGGGAGCACTAGGTCCTGGCGCGGCAGCTGCGCCGGCGGGCCGAAGCGCGCCGGGCGCAGGAACAACCAGGCCACGGGGCGGCGCACTGCAGAGCCCTCTGCCGCGTCCGCCTCGTCAACCAGGTGACGGCGGTACACAATGGAGCGCACGGTGTATCGCCCCACATGGCCGGCCGTCGCCACGCGCGCCCTCAGGGCCGCCCAGTCACCCTTGACCCTGGCGACGCTCGCGTCGCGGACGGGGTAGGGGACGGGGGAGGGGCCTGGGTTGTCGGTGTCCATCGCATCGTCGATACCAGGTAGGACGGTTGCTGGGCCCGGGGGTGTGGTTGCAGGGCCGGGGGTGGCGCCATCGTCCTGTCGTCGGGGCGCAGATGCGGGTGCAGACGGCGGAGGGCCAGGTTGTGAGGCGTCAGCAGGCAGCGCCGATGTTTCCATGGGGGTGGCGTCGATTGACATGCTCGCAGTAGCCTCCACTGCCAATGCAACGGCGTCACTGGGTGCCTGGCCGGCTCCAGCGGGCGCAGCTGCCGCGAGGTTTACCTCGCCAGCGACCGGGCCATCTCCCAGCCGCTCGGTCCCACCCGCATGCTTGGGCTCCTCCGAATCCTCGGCGATGCCCAGCACCTCCATGTACCTAGAGTAGGAATGGGATCGGGTTGCGAGGAAGGCTGGACCCCCGCCCACTCATGGGCTCGATGTATTCACCCATGCGTCCCCTCCTCCGACAGCAGCCTGGGATGGCTGCATCCACCCGGCCATGGTTCTCAAGATAGCCCCCATGCTCTGCTGCACCTGCGTGCAGTAAGCCACATCCTCCCCTGCCCCATGCAGCCCCCCCCTTCCCAACCACTAAAACAAATCTATGCACCTGTCGATGTGCATGAGGGCGCCGGAGCGCAAGATGACCACGCTGTCCCCCGGGAAGGGCAGGACCAGGTGACAGTTGGCCTCGGCCATCAGGCGCTCAAAGACGGGGCGAGGCACGACGTCCGGGGAGAAGGCGTGGCGCTGCAGCGCGGCGGCGTACATGGCTGCCTCGCGCACGTCGGAGATGAGGCTGAGCCCGCGGCGCCAGACCACCTGCCACACGTCGCGCCACTCGCCGCCCAGCACGCCCTCCAGCGCCAGCAGGCGCTCGGTCTCGGCCACGGCGATGCCGGCCTCGCGCGGCCCCACGCCGCCTGCCAGCGCCTCGCCGATGGCCAGGTGCTGGCGCTGCAACACCTCGCCCCGGAACCAGAGCGGGACCGCGCCCAGCAGCGCGTCCAGCGCGCCCGCCAGCCGCGCCTCTGCACTGGCGTACACGCCTCCGCGCGCGCACTGCCAGTCGCCACGCAGCAGCGGGGCCACCAGCCCGCGGTACCCGTCCGCGCGCAGCGAGCTCAGCTCCACTGCCGACGCGGGGCGGCCTGCGTGGGGGTTGTTGGCGAGGAGAGGGGGAGTACACATGTGAGCGGGAGCATGGTGTGAAGGAAGGGTCCGGAGCGTGGCTGGGCTGTGGCTGAAGATGGAGGGACCCTCGCCGGCGTCCATGGGCGCCAGAGAGGGGCATCACGGACCCCACCGCCGCATCGCATGGCGACACACGCGCACACAGCACACCACCCTCACCCGGCCTGAGCTGGTCGGTGGGCCAGGGCGCGTCGGCCAGAGTGGCCAGCAGGCCCGCCTCGCGCCGCATGCCGCCTGCCGCCAGCCAGGCGCGCAGCGCCGCCACGCCCGCGCCCTCGTACCAGCCCCAGCCCGAGGACGCTGCGCTTGTCGTCGCCGCCGGGCTGGAGGCGTCTGTCGCCGGGGTCGTCGGCGCGCCATCCTGCCGCGCCACACCATCGCCCGCGCAGCCGGCCGCCGACTCCAGCACGCGCTCGCAGAAGACGCGGAAGGCCCCCGCCGCGCCGCCCAGTGCCCAGTACCGCCGCCCGCGCGTGTCCATGCCCAGCGCGCGGCGCAGGCCCAGCCTCCGCCGCACCTGCCATTCCAGCCAGTCGTCCGCCGTCGCCCGGCCCGAGGGGGAGGGGGCCACGCCATGGTCTGCCGATACCCGGCCGTTGGCGGCCCCCTCCTCCCCCGCCCCCTCCTCCCCCGCCCCTTCCCCGACCACCGCCGCCGCCTCCTCCTCCTCTTCGTCGCCGGCGGCACCGTCCTGGCGCCCGCTGGCCACGGTCAGCGCGTCCAGCCGCTCTGCGATCTCGGCCTGGAGGCCGGGCGAGGCCAGCGCCATGTCCACCAGCGCGGTGAGCACCGCCAGGCGCGCCTCTGGCGCCAGGTCCAGCCAGTCCGCGTAGGCCAGGCGCGCCGCGGCGCCGCGCTGCGCCGCGTCGGCCTCGGGCCAGGCCAGCACCGCCGCCGCGGCGCGTTCCGGCCAGGTCAGCGCATGGTCGACGGCCTCATGCGCGACGCGAGCGGCGCGCGGCGCGCTGCCGCGCGTCGCCAGCGCGGCACCGTCCACCACGCGCAGCAGCGCGCAGGTGACGTCGCGCGATAGCAGCGCCGCCGGCGCCGAGGACCAGTCCACGGGCGCCAGGCGCGCAAAGGCCTCCAGCCCCAGGCCGTAGCGGCGCTGGAGCAGGTCGGCATGCGCCGCGATGGCCGCCTGCGCCGCGCCGGGCGTTGCAAACTGGCCGGGGAACGGTGCGGCCTGAGGTTGGCGGGGGGCGGTGACAGGGGCCCCCATCGTAGCGACAGGGGTGGCGACAGGCTCCATCGGGGGCTGGGGGGCCGACTCATCGTGCGGCGCAGACCCCTCCGCCAGGCCTGGGACCTTGAGCTTGATCTTGAGGCCCTCCTCGGGGGCACGCGGCGAGCCGCCGCCGCTCTGCGTCGCTGCCGGCCCCTGTGAGGAGGGGGTGGTGAGTGTAACAGTGATACGACACATCGTTCAATTGTCGTCTCGGCCAGTGGGCCTCCGAGAATGTGAAACAATCCCGCAAGAATAGAAACCCTACTCTCTTACCAGCAGCTGGCGCCGGGTGCGGATCGTGGGGTTGGAGATGACGTTCTGCGGCGCAACCTTGGGGAACTTGCGGCAGCCCTGGCGCTTGGCCTTGACCATGGGGCCCTCGGACGCCTTTCCCTGCGGTGCGGACTGGTCCTCCTCCGTGCCGGAGCCCGGCGCGTCGGCGGCCGCCTCGCTGGCTGGTTGCGCTGGTTCAAAATGCGCCTCATCGTCAGCAGGCGCCTCGGTGCCGAGCGTTTCTTCTGCGGCAGGAGCCGCTGTGCCGCCAGGCGCCTCTGCCTCGCCCATGGCATCATCCGCTCCGTCATTCTCTTGGCCAGCACCCACAGCCTCGGCCATCTCCACGTCGGCCTTCTCCTCATCCGCGCCACCAGCCACTCCATTCGGCTCTGGAGCGCCTCCAGGCGTCGCAAGGCCGACCTGGGGCTCCTCCTCCCGCTTCACGGCCTGCAGGGCGTCTGTCGCAGCGGCAGGCACCTCAGCACGCTCACTTGCGGGGGCAGCCTTCACGGTATGGTGGGGCAGGTGTGGTCCCGGGTCCAGCGCTGCCTCCAGTGCCGGGAGCGAGAAGGGAGGGACGCCCAGGACGTCGCCAAACGTCTGCATAATAGTGGCATGGGGTAAGGTAAGGACACGCGGTGCAAGAGCACATCCAGGAGGGGCGTCCACCACTCTGAAGCGCAGGATTGCTGTGCTCTTTGCACCACATGAGCATTTGCGGGGACTGCATTTGGGTGATGGAAGGTCCCTCTTGCGTATACCCAGGCAGCCCTCACGAATCCACCACCCCAACAGCAGCGCACACCTGGACAAACTCCCAGACAGCTAAAAGGCGAGGCACGAGGTGGGGAGCCAGCCTGAAATCGGAGGTGGGGGGCGGGGGCGAGCCGCGCGCCGCGTCCCGCTCCCGCTCCCTCTCCACCTGCGCGGCCTCTGCCTCGGCGGCCGCGACCCTGGCCGCCTCCTGCCTTCGGCGCAACTTGACCAGCTGCCACGCCCGCCGCCGGGCGGCGGAGGGGCCGCCGGGGCCGCTGCTGGCCGCCTCGTCGTCCTCATCTGTTTTAGAGGAGGACAGGACCCGTGAAACGAGGACAGAAATGAGCGTCAGGGGTCTGGATGTCTGGACTGCTGTACCCAGTCCTTCCATGGAGGCACCCCTCTCATCCACCCTTTCCCCCTCACCCGAAGCCTCAAAGTCTGCGGGCATGTCGTCGTCGCTGATGCCCGCCAGCTCGTCCTCGACGCTGGGGCCCTCGCCTAGCCTGAAGCGGCCCCCCAGCACAGACCTCCGCCCCGCTCGATCGCCCTCTGCGCGTGTTGGACAAGGTGTAGGAGCGAGACGGTCACGACGTGCAGGAACGCCGGATTTGATCTCGCACGGCTGCAGGCCGTTCGCGCACGCTGCACCTGGTGGTTTGTTTCCACGCCCATCGCCGCCCCTCCCCCCTGCTCATAATCCTGCTGCCCCAGCAAACCCACCCAAGGGCCTGCGCTTGCGCCCCGTTGCGCCGCCCCGCGCCCTCGCGGCCGCACGCGCGGCGGCCCTGACGCCCGCCCGCAGCTGCGCGGCGGCAAAGGCGCGCGCCTCGTGGCTGACGTGCGTCTTGCGCTTGCCCCGCAGGCCCGACCCGGCCTGCAGCACCGCGGCCGCGCTTTCGACCGCGGCGGTGATGTCCTCCAGGCGCGTGCCGGCGCCCAGCTCGGCCCGCGCGGCCAGTGTCAGGCGCACAAGGGTCTGCGTCCCCGACCACACATCCGCGTAGGAGGGATGGGGCTCCCCCAGCGCGACCCAGGCCTCAGGGGAGAGCACCCAGACCCCGTCCTCCAAGGCGAGGCTGGGGCCGGCCTCGGCGCTGTGGTCCAGCACCCAATCGGCGACGTGGCAGGAGAAGCGGGAACCCGGCTCGCCCGCCACCTCGCCCTCCAGCCTGGCGTCGGAGCCGGGGGCGGCGGGGAGCTGCTCCAGGCGGTACGCCTCGCCGTCGCTGGCGGACACGATCCGGAAATTGTCGACGCGGAGCAGGGGCAGCGTCGTCGCCGTGGGCGCCTCTAGACCTGGGTTCTCTGGGGCTGGAGTTGGGGCAGGGCCTGTGACAGGAAGAGGCGGGTGCAAGGGTTGCCAGTGGCCGGGCTTACATCCCACTAGGCCTTACTGGGCCTCGCACAGTGGTTTTGGAGCCCAGGGCAACCGCAGGACCCTGGCAATCCGTGTATACAAGCGAAGTGCAAGCCATGCAGGCATGTACAAACATTCATATGATGCAGCAGGCCAGCTCCAGCCGCTGCTGCCTGCCTGCCGCGTGACTCTCTTGCCCCACACCCGCACCCTTGGAGGCCGATGGAGCGGGGGTGGCCGGCTCCCTGCCCAGCCCTGCAGCGGCCCATGCTCGATCGAGGAGTGATTTTGATCTCGCTGCTGCATCCCGTATGGGCTTGTCCACTGGCCGATCATTGTATAGATTGCAGTTGGACCAGACCAGGGCGACGGCATCGGCCACCTGGCGGGGGTGGGAATAGGGCCCAGTCCCGGCCAGGCTGGCTCTCACGTTCGCCAGGATGGTGCCCAGATCTGCCGGCTGCTTGACCACATCGAAGTAGTCGTCCAGGCCCAGGGCTACCGGGTCCACAGGCTCCCCGAACAGGGTCGAGGTCTGCTCATCCCGCAGAACAGACTCCAGCACCCCGGCGACCACCCGTAAGCCATCCATGGGTGGTGGGTGAGTGAGGGTGCCTCAGGTGCCGCTCTGCATGGTCATATGCATCTGTCACGGGCTGGCGAGCAGCATGAATGTGATGTTTCACGGCAGGGCCAGAGTTGAACGAGGCGCGGGAATGGGAGATGCAAGGAGGAAGCTCACAGGAACGGTAATAGTTCCCTCAGGCCACTCAGTAGCCCAACAAAGTGATGCAGCTGGCTTTGTCGAAGTGACTATGCATGCTACTGAGCATTGTGGTTCCTCTGGTGGAGTTTGTGTTCATGCATGTTGATGTGACTTAATAGTCCTTGTGGAATCACGGAGCGAAACTTCGTGGGCATTGCTGATAGGATCCCTGTAAAGACAAGTTTGTTGTACAAGTTTCGAAGTTTAAGTTCTTTGGGAAGGGAATGTTGTACAGAAACCTCACTGGTGTCCATACCCAATAGTGTATGATGCTTCTCAGCTTCTCGTCATTGCTATCCATCTGCCTGTCTGCAGCCGAAAAACTACTTTGTCGACAAGCTCAAGGGCAGAAGACCCCAGCATGCTCCCAATCAACGTGACCAAACCTGGGCTTGATTAGAGGTCAATATGGGTGCATACCACAGGGAAGCGTACAGCAACCAGATCCGTATCATCACCGGTCAGTAGGTATAGTATAGACTATGATCTCCACTCTGAATATCAGGGTGTGGGAGTACGCGTTCTGCTCGAAAATGAGAACATAAGTTCATCGCAACTTCCCTTCCCACGGGCTCTCCTCTTCCGCCGGGCAGGGTCCGGAACCGGCGGTGCTCTGACCCGCCTCGGTCGTCCAGCTTCAAGTACCTAGAGGATGTGTGCAACTGATCAATGACTATGAAATATGGTGCAAAACAACACGTTTTCAACATCACACTTCCAAATCCATCCGAGCGCCACCAGTCATGCCTCCAGCCGGTCGATCCTGTAAGGATGTAATGTCGAAACAGAAGGGCACCGCCTGGGCGGCCATGGAGATGGTGAACCTGTGCGGTGCCTGCCCACCCATCGAACGCATGGACAGCTCCATCCTGGGACTAAAAGCAAGCCGCCATCTGGCGCTCAGCACCAACAGCATCGACAAGATTGGTCCCTTGACGGGACTCAGCCTGGAGACCTTGTCCATGGGGCGCAACTGTTTGAAGCGGATCGAGAACTTGGAGGGCGTGGCGCCCACCCTGCGCCAGCTATGGATCAGCTACAACTCCATTGAGAAGCTGGTGGGATTTTGGGTCTTGGGTATCAGTTGGCACATCAAAAGCTCTCCTGTATTGCTGCTTGCTTGTGGTCAAAGAGGCATGGTTGGATCTCTCTGTTCATGGGCTCAACAGCCATGTGTGGTATTTCTTTGCCCACCATCCAGTTCTAAACAGCCCCTTCTCCTTCTCACTCTGGTACAAAGGTCGGCATAGAGAAAGCCCCAGGCATCCGAGTGCTGTACGCCTCCAACAATAAAATTCGGGACTGGTTGGAGATTGAGCGCCTGACGGCCCTGCCAGATCTGGAGGAGCTGCTCCTGGCAGGCAACCCACTGCACAGCGAGGCGGCAGCTGCAGGAAACCTGACTGCCTACCGCCTCGAAGTGCTCCGTCGGCTGCCACACCTGAAGAAGCTGGATGGCATCCCCATCGAGGTCGAGGAGAAGGAGGCGGCACGTGCCCTACCTCGGCTGTAGTGCCGGGTGCTGGACATGGAACGAAAGCACCCTCATCAGGTTGACGATAGGAATCTCCTATGAACAGAGAGAGGCAGACTGGATCTCTTTGGTTACAGTGTCGGGTAGAGACCTCCAAGCAGAGGAAGCATCAGCTTTGGAGCGCCGCATGGCTTTGGCGAAGTGCATGTCCTCACATGTCCTGCGATGCACCAGACCCTCATGACAGATGTCACAGGGCAGGCAGCCAGCGGCCCCAGACACCATGAGGCAGACCGCTGGTGGCCGCATGCAGCCAGCCCTCCTCCCAGAGCGCAGCGTCGCATCGGCTTCGGCACCCCTCACTGCGGGGGAGGTGGCCGCATGCCTGGGGGAGGGGGCCTGTACCCCGGCGGGGGCATGCCTGGCGGGGGCATCCCCGGCCGATACCCCGGCGGGGGCATGCCCGGCGGGGGCATCCCGGGCCTGTACCCCGGCGGGGGCATGCCAGGGGGCGGCATGCCCGGGGGCGGGCCGCCCATGGGCGGCCGCATGAGCGGGGCGCCGTGCACCTGGGGCCGCGGCATCATGGACCCCGGGGCGGGGGCGCCATACCCCGCGGCGGGGCCCGCCAGACCGGCCGGCGCGGCGCCGGGCGCGGGGGCCGCGGGCATGCCCCGCCCCGCCGCGCGGCCCAGGCCCGGGCCGCCTGGGCCGCCGGGGGCCGCCTTGGCCACGCGTGACTCGTCGGCCGGGGGCGGCCCCTCGATCGTCAGGTCCATGACCTCGTCGCCGCGCAGGATGACCAAGCCCAGCACCCGCCGCTGCTCCCGCTGCACCGTTGGGAAGGTGGAGGGGGAGGGGTAAGATGAGCGGCAACAACATGTACACAGCCGCAGTGAGAGAGGACCTGCAAAGCATGCAGTCGCCCTCTTGGAACACCACCCAGCACCTCAACTCCCACGCGCGACGCGCTGCACAGCTCGTCCTGAAACACAACTCCCTGCGCTTGCGCATACCATCCCTCACACACACCTCCTCCTCTGGGATACCCTTCTTGGGTGGCAGCTTGCGGTACTCCTCCGCATCTCCCAGGACCAAGTTCATGTGACGGTCGAAAGCCATAAACCTGCACGTTGATGTAGCAGGCGTGGTGTGAGAAGAGTGGAGCACTTTCAGTCAGAGACTGGGTAAGCAGGATGAAGCAGCAAAGTATGCTGGAGAGACAGGCCACCCCTTCCCCCACTCACCGTCCCACAACTTGGCGCTTGTCACTGAGAGTGACCCGCATGCCTGCGATTTTGGTTGTGGGATGAAAAGTTAGTGGATATCGCGAACCAGCAAGCAGATTCGACTGTAGACATCCACCTCCCACCACCACCGGGGCTGGTGATGAGCCGAGGGACTCACGGAAGTTTATGTACTGCAGCAGCTTGCTCGTTTTAGAGAGAGACATGGTGTCTCCTGTCCCTCGTCAGCTGCAAGTGGCACGTAGGGCCCTCCGTCTCTCCGCTCGCCACTAGACTGGCCAGGGGTGAGCCGGTGCCCCGGTGAACAGGGATGCGCGCTCTTTGTACTCTCAAGACTTCGCACGAAGGTATCTATCGGAGTGGTATGTGAAGTGTGACAACGAGGCTGGCCCTTTCCCGGCCCGCTCTGGCCTCCAGTTCCGCGCTCCCTCCTGGCAGTGCACCAATCGGAAACCGCCGTGCTTTCCAGTTGGAAAGCCTCTTTTCGAGAGGGGTTTCATTGGGGTGGTGTTTTCTCACAATATACTCCACAATGACTACTCTACCCGCAGCAGAACAGCATCCGCGGGCACGAAGTAAGCACAGGCAGAGGGCTGGTCGACACAGGGTCCATGGTCGGGGGGTCAGAACCAGATCGCTTGCCGCCCCGCCGCCCCGCCGCCTCAGAGCTTGGACTGGGTGGCCACCAGCTCGTCGCGCAGCACGCGGCGCATGACCTTGTTGGCCGCGTTGCGGGGCAGCGCCTGGCGCACCAGCACCCTGTGCACCCGGAACAGCGGGTTCAGCCGCTGCGAGATGGCACGCTGCGCGGCGGCCGCCAGGTGTTTCGAGCTTGCCGGGTCGTTGTCGGTGGCCCCTATTGCGCCGCTCCCAACGCTCGCACCGCTCGTCACACCCCTCGCATCCCCCCCCAGCACCAGGAAGAGGTACAAGAGGTCGGGCCCGCCCCCCGGCGCGGGGCAGGCCACGGCCGCGGCCTCCACCACACCCTCCACGCCCGCCGTCACGGCGCGCTCCAGCTCCGCAGAGCTGGTCTTGATGCCGCCCAGGTTCATGGTGTCGTCGGCGCGGCCCAGCGCGCGGTACAACCCCCCCCCCAGCCGCTCGACCTCGTCGCCGTGGCGGCGCAGGCCGTACCTCCCCCCCGGCCCGGGCGGCATGCCCGCGTGGTAGGCGGCGGCGTGGTCGCGGTTCAGCAGCGTCTGGGACTGGCCCAGGGACGGCGTGCCCAGCGCGGCCTCGCCCGCCAGGCGCGCTGGGTCGCCGTGGGGCGACAGCCCGCCGCCGCGCGCCAGCAGCACCAGCTGGGACCCCAGCACGGGGCCGGAGAAGGTGGAGGGCGCCTGGGGCTGGACCAGGGTGCAGGACATGAAGGCGCCGCCCAGCTCGGTGCCGCCGCAGTACTCCACCACGGGCTTGTAGCCGCCGCGGGCCGACAGCCACAGGCTGTCCTCCGGCGCGGAGGCCTCGCCCGTGGAGCTGAAGCATCGCAGCGCCGACCAGTCCAGGCCCTGCATGCAGCCGCTGGCACGCCAGGCCTGTATGATGTTGTGGGGGGAACACTTGCAGGAGTTGAGGACTCGTCGGAGGTGGGTGGGTGGTGGAGGGTGTCCCCATAACAGCCAGGCGTGTGTGCATGGGGCTGGACCTGTGCCTCGCCCTCCCTTCCCGCACATGCACACGCACAGAGCACGGCCACCTTGACGATGCTGGGGACCACGCCCAGGACGTTGACGCGCGCGGCGGCGACGAACTGGCCAAAGGGCCTGCCCGTGGGCGCGCCGTGGAAGAGCGCGATGGCCGCGCCGTTGAGCAGCGCGGCGTAGGCCAGCCAGGGCCCCATCATCCAGCCCAGGCTGGTGGGCCAGGCCACCACGTCCCCCGGCCTCACGTCCTGATGGAAGTGGGCGTCCGCGCCCGCGCGCAGCGGCGTGATCTGGGTGAAGGGGATGGCCTTGGGGTCGCCCGTCGTGCCGGAGGAGAAGAGGATGTTGGTGGGCGCGTCCGGGGGGGAGGGCACCCCGCGCAGCGGCGCCGCAGCGCCCGGCGCGGGCGCGCGCGCCAGGAAGGCGGCCCACGTCTCGTCGCCGGGGCGCAGGCGCCCGCGCACGGCGTCGCCGGCGCGGGCGGGCAGCACGACCGCGCGCGGCGCGCCGGCCGCCGCCACGCGCTCGTACAGCGGCAGGCGCCGCCCTGCGCGCAGCACCGCGTCCTGCGTGAACACTGCGCGCGCGGCGCTGATGCGCAGCCGGCTCGCGATCTCCTCCGCGGAGAAGGAGTCGGCGATGGACACAACCACGCACCCCGCCAGCACGCAGCCCAGGTAGATGACCAGCGCGTCCACCGTCAGCACCATGTCCACCGCGATGGGCGTGCCTGGTAGATTTATGGTTTTTTTGGGGGGGGGTACGGTGAGGGCTGTGAGTAGGCGGGGATCGTCAGTGCCTCACGCTGCACAGGGGGTGTGAAGCCGAGGAGGCGCACGCCTGGGAGAGGGGAGGCGTCCAGGGGCACTGGCCGTCCCGACACCCAATTCCGCCGCACCCGGCTGGAAGCCGGCCGCCCGCAGCGCGTCCGCGACGTGCTGCGCACGCTGCGCCAGCGCCCCCAGGCTCAGCGTGTGCAGCTCCGTGGGCGTACCCTCCTCGGCCCACACCACCGCGGGGCGGTCCGGGTCGCGCCCCGCCAGCGCGCACTCCGCGACGTTCAGCCTGGCCCCCGGGAACCAGGAGACCTGGTCCGGGTCGGCGTGGCGGGCCAGTACCCTGCTGGGCACGCTGTGGAAGCGGATGCGCAGGCGCTGCAGCACAGCGGGCCAGAAGGACTCGGGGTCCTCGAAGGAGATCTGCTGCAGCAGGGGCCAGTCCTGGGTGGGGTCGCCGGTCCGCAGCCGGCGCCACAGCTCAGAGCCCTGATGGTCGTTTTTTGGTTTTTTTTGGGGGGGGGGCACGGGGTGAGGGACAGAGGGGATCAGATGGCGCATGAGACTCGTGAGGCCATGGAAGCGGGAATAAGAAGGGGCTGTGCCAAGCATGCGCAGGAGAGGCCATTCTCCGCCTGAGCCATCTTGCAAGGACACCTTGTCACCGAAAGGATGGCAAACAACCCCCCCTGCGCTAGCCTGCAGCACACTGCACACACCCGCCCCGTGCCGCTCCGTCCCTCCTTGCCATCGCAAAGGAACTCACCTTCCACTCCTGCATGAAGCGAGCTATGTTGGTGTCACGCATGGCGTCCGGGTCAGGGACCCAGGACGGTGGGGGGCCCTGCGCCTCCCCGTCCCAGCCAGCATAGGCGGCCTTGTAGAGCTTGACGTGCAGCGGGAAGGGGAGGTCCGGGTGGAGGACGTGCTTGCTGACCAGTCTCCAGAGCTGTGGGAAGAGTGGGGGATGAGGGCATCGCTCAGGTGCACGGATGTGCGTCCCACCAGGAGGGCCCCACCTGCCACCTGGACCAGGTGTGCCCAGGGAATCCAGCCCCAGATGGTGCTTCCTGACCTGGGGCAGAGGGAGGGCATCGGCACCTTCCAGCACCTCCTTCAGTCTCATGGCAGTGGGTCCTGCCTCCTGGGCCGTCATCTTGCAGGCCATCAGGTCATCCATGGTCAGGTCTCGGAGGTCTCGGATACCCATCGTGGCAGGCCGGTCCCGCTCCCGAGAAACCCAGCCGGTCCGCGGCTGCCGTAATGTAGCAATAACAATGTGTGCTCTGATACACTGCTACGCTGGAACTGTGCCATCTGCCAATTCAAGCTGGACCAGGTATTTATCAACCATGCCAGTCCGCGCGCGGCCCCGGTACGCTTGCTGAGTCGGCACTTTTTCCGGAACATGGACGTCTAGGGGGAAGGAGGCCAGAGCACCTGGCCTGATCACATCACCGGCTTTTGCCTGTGCACGCTGCCCAGTCCCACCTCACCCATGTTTCACAAGTATCACTCTCACTTCGGCACATCGTCACACGCAGGATGGGCATGCAGGCACAGGGGTGGCAGTACGGGTCAGGAGCGCGCCAGCCTCGCGGGCTTGTGCAGGCGGATGGGTTGGTGGGCCAGGACCACGGTGTCCCCGGAGAGGGGCACCGCCTGCTGACCGCCCTCCGTGGCGGCGGCTGCCTCCCTCGCCGCCAGCGCAGCCTGGCGCGCGGCCTCCGCCACGGTCAGGCGGGGGTTCAGGGGGGCAGCGCCGCCGGGTACCGGGTCCCCAGGCCGATCCGGCAGGGGCGCCAGGTCGGTGCCCACCAGCAACGCTGGCGCCGGGGCCATGCGCGGCCCCGGCCGGCCGGGGCCGGCGGGGACCTGTTCCGGCCCCCGCACGTCTGCAAAGTGCTGGGGTCCGGCCTGCGCGGCCTGCTCCCGTGCAGGGTCGGGCCGCGCCACCCGGCCCGCCGTCACAGCGGCGTGCCCGGCCTGGCGGGGCCTGGGATGCCCAGGCTGGGCCGGGCCACGCCGGGCCTGGGCAGCGCTGGGCTTGGGGGTCCGAAGGCCCGTCGCCGGGAGGGTGGGCGCCAGACCGACACCGCTGCCCTCGGCCACCAGCAGCTGCTTGACCTGGTTGTACACGGCCTTGCCGCCATAGTAATGCCCTGCACCGGGCGGGGATGCGAGGTGGAGTCAATGCTGCGGGAATGCTGGCTCTGGATGGCAGGTATGGGTGCTGGCACGAGGAAGAGGGTCCAGCAGGGGCCTCCCATGCCCCCCTCCAGTGCCAGGGTAGCATACCCCGGTGGGGCACCAAGGCGATGTGGAGTGCACCCACCCGATGCATGGCACTCAGGGAATTGGAATGCCACCTGCAACCTTGACTCGCGTACCATAGCGGGAGGGCAGGGAAGTGGCGTACTCCTCGACCCCTGGAAGAGGCTTGGGGGCCGTCCTCTGTGGTTGTGGGAGGGCCCATTCAAAATGATAGGCTTGCACGTGAAGGTCCGAGGGTTCACTACCAGTCAGGCAACCAGACAAGCTCCTGTGCTTGGTCCAGCGGGCAAAGGACACCTGCCGAGGGGCTCAAACGCCCTGCAGTGCTGTGGAATCACCCTCGAGGGCACCGTTCAAGCCCAGATTACCCCATACCAACAGGAATTCCAAGAGACCCCATCCGGCACATGCCTGCACAGGGAGGCTGGCTGGCGGCTGGCCCTTGAGCGCTGCCAGACGGCGCTGGAGCTCCTCGTCTGTCAGCGGCCTGGTTCGTCTCTGCCCTGGCACAAACGCGCCACCCTCCGGGGACGGCTCTGGAGTGCCAGTCGTCGACCGTGCCTGGCGACCAACTTCGCTGTGTTGCGCCACCGGCGCATCCAGCGAGGCGGACTCCCTGGCCTGCAGTACCGGTACTGCTCTCGGCGCCTGCCGCTTTGCCAGGACACCCAAGACAATGGTGACCAGGGTGGCCGCCAGACCCAGGGCCCCAGCAGGCAGAGCTGGGGCGACGAAAGCTTGCAGGTGCCCAGGATTCTCGCTTGCCACGCTCACCGAGGCCGCCACGCCGGCAGCGCCAGTCGAGGCAACTGCCGCTTGTCCAGCCTGCTGCGTCACAGCCGCATGGAGGTTGGCCTTCTGCTGAGAAGAATTGGCATTGGGTGATTGCCATTGTTGCAGGTGCACGGGGTGTGGCCCATGGTGGCTCACATCGAGGCCTGCCCAACACTCCCACCCCGTCAGCATGTTTCCTCACGACTCACCTTCTGGCGCAGGTATTCCAGGTGGCTCGCCGTGTTGAAGGAACCTGTGACTTCCAATCCGCTGTCGCGTTGCCAGTCGCACAGAGCCTCCTTCGTCACGCTCCCAAAGTAACCGCTGAAGCCTTCCCCTGGAAAATGTGCGCAACATGCAAGCCTTGCTGTTTCGTGTGACAGCGACGACAAGCAATGCATCCCAAAAGGCGAATGCACCATCCGTGCATTCTGTATACTCAGCCCTGCACCCTACCTGCATTGAAATAGGCACGTTCGCTGAGGAATGCCTGCAGCGCCGCCACGTCGTCGCCGAAACCACCCTCCTCCAGCGTCTGTCCTCCAAACTCGTGGATCTGGCACCCAGCATCCAGCAGCTGCTTGGCCTTGCTCCGTATCCGGATTTGGTTCATCTGCAGCATTTATATGGGGAATGAGAAAGAGGAATTTGCACCAGGGATGATCCGATCCCTCCGCGTCCACCTCAGGGATACTCCCCCTCTCCCTCACCACGGCCGTAGCGGTGAGTCTGGTGCGCCGCGTAGCATGCTTGCGGCGCGATGACAAAGTACCTGCATGGCATCGATTCTAAGTGTTGATCCCCGCATATCGGTGGCATCCAGCCTGAAGGCCAAGCGAAACTCGGTCCAGAATGAGGTACCTGGTAGGACCCTGGTGAGAGAGCGCGTGCTCCCTAGTGACAGCGGCATCTTCCTCCAGGAAACCACTTGAGAATGTAGACGTCAGGCACGAGGTATCGAGGACTCTTCACGATGCTGAGCTCCTGCTTCCCCGACATATCCGTTCTGCGCGCCCTGGAATTTGAACTGGTACCGAGATCCGGTCACGTGGCCCGCGCCAGGGTTCTGCAACCCCTCCACGCTCGGGCCTCAAGCCCGGCCGGCCCTAGGGCGAGGCAGTGTAGGGAATCAGATGTGCAACCAGAGCTCGCTCTATCGTTTGTTGCATTTGGACTAGCATGGATTCCCCTCCACCCTCCCAGTTGCCGAGGGTGCGGCGGAAGGAGTTTGGCGAGCACCCCCCCGTGCTGGGCATGGATCCCCGCCGCCTCTTCCTGGCCTTCCTCCTCCAGGCCTCGGTGCTGAGCATAGTAGTGTATCAAATGTATGCCGGTGGAGCCCTAGCGGTGGCCAGGGACTACGCCTGGGTAATGAGTCCTTGGACCCAGCCGTGTGGCCTGCTGGAGCACAAGGAGTTCATCCTGGTCAGCGACAATGTGGTCCGTACCTTTGGAAGCGGGCCCGGGTATGGTGAGTTATTTGGGTTCCCTATGAGGATTGGGGTCCGTTCCCGGACGAGGGTGAGGGGGGCCCATTCTGGTGGTTCTGCCGCTCACTGCCCACGAGTCTCTGCATCATGGGGGAGACTTCCATACCCATCCCTGCTCCCGCCCATCCCTCGCATGGCTGTGTCACACCGGGCGCCTCCCTGCCATGGACACAACCCACAGTGCACGTGCGCGGGAGCAGGATTGTGACGGTGGCCACCGCCGGCCCCGATGTGGACCGGGTGGCCTTCGCGCGGCACTACGCAGCCGCCAACCCGCGCGCCGCGCTGCTGGACTACGGCGGCGCGGTCATCGGACCCGGCCTCATCGACGTGCACGTGCACTTGAACGAGCCAGGGCGGGAAGAGTGGGAGGGCATCCCCACTGGCACCGCCGCCGCCGCGGCAGGGGGCCTGACCACGCTGCTGGACATGCCGCTAAACAGCGAGCCGTGCACAAACACCGTGGCCGACCTGCGTGCCAAGCGTGCCGCGATCCGCGCCGGCGCGCGCGTCGACGTCGGTGCCTGGGGCGGCGTCGTGCCCGGCAACGCGCGCGACGCGCGAGCGCTGCGCGCCCTCGCCCGCGCGGGCGCCCGGGGTTTCAAGTCCTTCCTCTCCCCCTCGGGCATGGCCGCCTTCCCCAACGTGTCCCTGGCCGACGTGGCCGCCGCCATCCCCGTGCTCAAGCGCCTGGGCGCGCCCTACCTCCTCCACGCCGAGCTGGTGGACGGCGACGTCCCGCCCGGCGCCGAGCCCCGCTCCTACGCGGAGTTCCTGGCCAGGCGCCCAGCGCGCTACGAGCGCGCCGCAGTGCACGCCGTCCTCGACATCCTGCGCAAGGGTGGGCGTGGTTGGGCGTGTGGGTGGGCCTGGGGGTGAGAAGGGGCCCCCTGGAAGCATGCTGTGGGGGTTGAAGGGGGCCTGGCTCGGCCGGGGTGGGTCCTGGGGACTGGTGCCAAAGGTGGCTGGGATGCTCCTACGTGCATGCCTGCTGCCCCCGGCCCAGCACCCGCGACCTCCACACAAGGGGCCGCCTCCCAGCCCACTCCCTGATCCCCCCCTCCTGACCCAACCGCCCCCACCCGATGCCAGACACCACGCCCGCCCGCCCTGGATTCGTGGTGCACTTTGTGCACCTGGTCTCCTCCAGCCTGCTCCCCGCGCTGGCGGCGGCCAAGGCCGAGGGCCTTCCGGTCAGCGTGGAGACCTGCCCCCACTACCTCCTCTTTTCCGCCGACGACGTGGCCGACGGCGACACGCGCTTCTCCTGCATGCCGCCCATCAGGAGCGCGGCCAACCGAGAGGCGCTGTGGCGCGGCCTGGCCGACGGCACCATCGACCTGCTGGCCAGCGACCACTCCCCAGCGCCCCCAGCGCTCAAGCACCTGGACAGCGGTAACTTCCGCGGCGCCTGGGGCGGCATCGCCGGTCTGCAGTACGGCCTGCCCGCCAGCTGGCACGGCGCGGCGCAGCACGGCGTGGGGCTCCCAGCCTTCTTCCGCGCCTGGGCCGCCGCGCCGGCGCGCCTCGCAGCCCTGAGCGCGCGCAAGGGCGCGCTCAGGCCGGGCTTCGACGCCGACCTCGTGGTCTTCGATCCCAGCGCACCCGCCGACACGGGTGCGGGCGGGCGCCAGCACCGGCACAAGGTCACGCCCTACCACGACCTGCAGCTGCGGGGCAGGGTGCTGGCCACGTTTGTCAGGGGGCAGCAGGTGTTTGACTCCGAAAAGGGGGTCGCACAGCAGGCCTGTGGGCGATACGTGTAGGGCGTGTGGCTCCCGGCCCAGAGACGCCAGGGGGGTGACGTGGAGCGGGCGCTGCTCCTTGGCGGCCTGCGACCCGGCAGCCGACACCCAGGAGGCGGGGAAAAGGCCTGTTGCGAGGAGCCTGAGCCCTGGGCCGAGTGCAGGCCTCACCCAGCCGCCCATGGCCGGCGCAAGGGCTGGCCGAACCGAGACATGGCCGGCAGAGGACCAGGCCCTCACCCAGCAGGCAGTGAGAACATGCTCGCCCGTCCCATGTACGAATGCATCCCTGAGGAAAGTGCGATCGCTCCCTTGTGCGCAGCATGCACGCTGCACGCTCTGGATACCTGGTGTGCCTCCAACCGCATCGAATCTTCCTTCAAAGACCTCACCGAGTGATGCATGACGAGATCAGGGCCCAAGCTTCCTCCAGCACATACTGAACCCTTCCATCTCAATCAAAAGGATGGCTACATACTGAGGCGCAGGCGCGAGCCGCCTCCCCCTCCCTGCACCAATGGGCGACCGGGAGGGGGACCTGGCTGCGCTGCGCAATCGGGGCGGGGGGGGTGATGCCTGGATGTCTCAGGAGACAATGATGAGGGGAGTGTGTCAGTGGCAGTATGCAGTATACAAGGGTGCAGGTGTCTGGCCAGGGTTTCCAGGGGGGGTCGGCTGCGGCCCTGATCAGGGCAACGCGGGCGTCGGGCACTCTGCGTGGCTTTTTGAGACGGAGCAGCCGCCTCAGGCCAGGGCGATGTAGCCGGCCAGCGCGCCGGTGAAGCCCGCGTTGTAGTCGACCGCCACCTCGTTGGAGATATAGTCGCTGCGCAGGTCCACGTAGGTGCCATCCCCGTTGGGGGGCCCACCCACCAGGGCCCCCGTCAGCGTCTGGGGACTGGAGGCCGCAGAGTAGAACTGGTCCCAGCCGCAGGCCGCGGGCATGTTGGGGCAGGACGCGGAGCGGTGGTGGGGCTGCAGCGGGAAGCCGGTGCCCACGCCACATACAAAGCTGCGGCCGGTGGTGCTCAGCGCGTAGTCCAGCTGGCTCTTGGCCCACGCAATGTTGGTCGCCTTGTTCACGGAGGAGTAGGAGGCGCGCATGATGGTCATGAAGGCCGCGTTGTTGGAGTAGCGCAGGTTCCCCCACTTGCTCCAGGATGGGTAGGTCAGGCCCTTGGGCGTCTTGATGATGCTCCAGTTGCCTGATGAATGGGGGTGCACAAGGGAAGGGATCTCAGAGCACTGAAGGGGGGAGAGCGCTGAATGACATTGGTGGCTCCTGGCCCGCACCATTGGCCCCGTCTGTTGGGAAGAGTGCTGAAACTGGCTGACTCTGCAGCCTGCCGCTGCCCTGGACAAGAAAACGGTGCATCCCGCACCAGGAGGAAAGCCAACCCCCAGGCTCACCGTCGGCCGTCTGCCAGGCGGAGAGGAAGCTGGAGACAATCCACTTCTCGTACGCCGCTTTGCCGGGCACGGTCTTGCCTTCGCTGGCCAGCTTGAGCAGCAGGTTAATGGCGGGGGCAAAGGTGGAGTCCCAGCCGGTGTAGATGTCACCCGAACCGGCAGACTGCCAGAAGGCGTAGGCGTCGGTGGCATACGCGGCGTCCCCGGTGGCCCTGAACAGCCAGGCGGCGGCGTACATGAGCTTGTCCACGTACCGCGAGGACCAGTACACATAGGTGGCGGAGGAGTATGCCGCGTTGTACAGGCCTGCACGGCAAGGGGCCGGGGCGGGGTGATCCTCGGTCTTGGGGAGGGGAGCCTGCTCTGGGTGCAGTGCCCCTGCCGCAGTAGCTTTTGCAATTTTAGGGCCGAACAGGCCTGCACCCACTCTGCCCACCCGCTCATCCTCCTATCACCCAAGGACATCCACGCCTTCCCATCCACCTGGGTAGGCCTTGCCCCATGCATACAGGGCCGTGGCGTGCGTCAGCATCTCCTTGGAAAGCGCGGCGTCGCTGCCGGCCAGGACCAGGCTAGAGGAAGTGAGGGCCGCGGAGACCGAGCCCAGCAGGTCGCTGGCCGTGGTTTCTTTAGTGTAGGTGTAGGCGGGGCGGGTGCCGGTCTGCTGCTCCGGACGGCCCCAGTAGGAGTGGTCGGTTCCGGGATTGCCGATCTGGCCCACGTACTGGTACTCCCCAATGTGGCACTTCATCAGGTAGGTGGCTGCCAGCTTGATGTTGTTCAGGGCGGGGGTGGCCGTCCCGGCGTCAGCATAGGCGGTCGGGAAATCCAACAGACTCCAGGCCAGGAAGGACACGGTCTGGCCCATAGGGAAGTTCAGCTTCAGAAAGTCGCCGGCATCGTACCTGGCAGGGGGAGGAGGGGGGGGGGTTGGACTTGGTTGAAGGCAGGGGTTCTGATTCTGAAGGCAGGGCAGTTCCATCAAGAGAACAGCCGGTTAGGTCTATATAAAAGGAGACTGCAGCCCCGCCAATCACTCGTATGTGTAAAAGGCTGCGAATGTCCAGCGTCGCCAGCGCGCAAGGCTGTCAACTTTCAGGACCCAAGACCCGCCTCACCATCCACCCGGGACGACATCGTCGGTGTGGGAGTCGCCGCGGTATGTGATGCGGTTCCAGCTGGGCTTCTCACCGCTGACTTGAGCCTCGTAGAATAGGTACGATCCATACAGTGCCTGCAGCAGGGGGTGCAGTGGAACTTGTTCAGAATGTGAACGGATACTGCCCTAGAACAGGTTCCTGTTGACGTGTGCACTTCCCTCATGCCAAACCAACTTACCGACTTGTAGAGGTCTTTGCTGATGGGGGGTGGCGGGGGAAAGGTTGCGGTTGGGGAGGGGGGAATCTTTGGCGGCGGCGGGGGAGACTTGCGGGGCGAGGGAGAAGACGTTGGCGGCGGTGGGGAGGCCTTTGATGGTGGCGGCGGTGAGGCTACGTAGGATGGAGGTGGAGGAGACTTGGTACCTGGGGAAGGAGAGATCCCGGGAGATGGGGCCGGCGAGCTTGATGGGGGCGGTGGGGGTGGGGTGGAGGAGGGTGGAGGTGGCGGGGGTGGGGCGGCGGTGGGGTGGGGGTGGTGGGGGTGGGCCTGCAGATGCATGCGATAAAAGAACAGTGTCAAAGTGCTTCGGTGTGTCATGAATGTGAGTACCATGCACGAGTTGGTTGCAGGGAGTGGTCACTTGGTGGAGCACGCTATAGTTTGAAAGCAAAAATTGCATATGCAGAAGGAACTTGCTGGACACTTGGGAATCCACATCCAAGCACTGCATTCTGCAACCCTGTATGCACAACAAGAAGCGACACATATACAGCCTACACAGCACGTACTTGGTGGTGAGGGAGGGGGCTTCTTCTTGGGAGGCGGCTTCTTCCTTGGTGGGGGAGGGGGCGGCTTCTTCTTGGGAGGCGGCTTCTTCCTTGGTGGGGGAGGGGGCGGCTTCTTCTTTGGCGGCGGCCTCTTCCTCGGCGGGGGTGGCGGTGGTTTCGTGGCCAGCAGGCTCCTGTGGGGTCCCTGGAGAGCGTTGACGGTATTCAGACTCCGTTGCAGTGCCTCTGCGTTCTGCATGCCCTCCACGGTCTCGGAAGACTGAAGTTGTCTGAGGCTCTGGATCTCTGCGTGATTGTCCCATGCATCTTCGATCTGTAGGGGATTATTCATGGTGAAATTATTAGGGGAGACTCTGGTGGTGGAACCAGCAACTGTCCGACAACCAATAGACGTAACGGCTATCACCATTCGCTCGCCTTCTCCGCCTTGACGGCCACAACTCCCAAAAGGAGCAGGTACGATACAATAACGAGCCGTGATGGACTCATTCTCAACACTATGCCGTATCCCGACCTCTGAGAATCGGGACCCGCAACGGGTCAGCACTGAGGTGCTGCCGGCCGCAAGTGCAGTGTTTCTAGGGATGGAGCAGTTCGTATCGATGACGAGGCCCGTAAAGGCCAGCGATACCTTTACTGGGGTAAAGTATTCGATGCACTCCTGTTTGTCGGTTGATCTGTCAAATTATCTCCAGGTCTTCGGACGACTCCCGCCCCGGGTCAATGATGCGCCAACCACCGTGGTCGTCGGGCGCCCGCAAAATCTGGCTGGGCTGGCCACTGAGTCATACCGAAGCCCGGAAGTCGCATCCTTGAATGATAAGATCGTCGCGTGGTGGCAGCTGCGGACTTTCCCCCATGCAAGGATAAGTTGGATCCGGTACGGAAGCTGGCCGGGGCAGCCCGCATCCGCTTGTGACCCCCTGCCGGGATGATGTTTGCGCAGGGACATGATCCCACCGAGACCTCTCACCAAATGCACAATGACCACGCATTCCTCATCTGCTTTGATTTCCCTGAAATGTGACCGCCGAATGCTTTCAAGTTGCCTTTAGAGTCAGTGTCAAACAGCCAGGGCGGCTTGCAAAGCACGAGTAAGGGGTTCAACTATGGCTGACATCAGCCAGTCAGTACTGGGGCCAAATACATTTGTCGATGGCGTTGTCAGCAATGGTGAGCACATCAGTGGATGTGGTCAGCATGGGCCTGGCTGGGGTAAACCCTAGCTCAGCTCAGGGCAACCAGGCCGGCCAGCGCGCCCGTGTAGCCCGCATTGTAGTCGACCGCCACCTCATTTGAGACGTAGTCGGTGCGCAGGTCCACGTAGGTGCCATCGCCGCTGGGGGGTCCACCCACCAGGGCCCCTGTCAGCGCCTGTGGGCTTGCCGCCTTGCTGTAGAACTGGTCCCAGCCGCAGGCCGCGGGCATGTTGGGGCAGGACGCCGAGCGGTGGTGGGGCTGCTTGGGGTAGCCGGTGCCCACGCCGCACACGAAACTGCGGCCGGTCGTCCGCAGGGCGTAGTCCACCTGCCCCTGCACCCAGGCCAGGTTCTTCCCGCGGTCGATGGAGGAGTAGGAGGCGCGCAGGGCCATCATGAACCCTGCATTGTTGGCGTAGCGCAGGTTCCCCCACTGGCTCCAGGAGGGGTACACCAGGCCCTCGGGCGTCTTCACGATGCTCCAGTTGCCTGAAGAGGAGGGACAGGGGAAAGGGTGACGAGCAGGCCAGCTCTTGGGGATGCCAGACTTCCTTGCGGTCCCAGGTCGAGGCACATGGGGGCACACATGGGGGCGCACATGGTTGACTGCTGGTGCCCGAATATCGTGGACCGCACCATGCCCCCACGCACCGTCTGCGGTCTGCCAGGCTGAGAGGAACGATGACGTCATCCAGGCCTCGTACGATGCCCTCCCCGGCACGGTCTTGCCCTCGCTGGCGAGCTTGAGCAGCAGGTTGATGGCGGGGGCAAAGGTGGAGTCCCAGCTGGTGTAGATGTCACCCGAACCGGCAGACTGCCAGAAGGCGTAGGCGTCGGCAGCGTACGCGGCCTCCCCCGTGGCCCTGAACAGCCAGGCGGCGGCATACATGAGCTTGTCCAGGTAGCGCGAGGAGGAGTAAACGTATGTGGCCGCCGAGTGGGCGGAGTTGTACTTGCCTGCACATATGGGTTTGTGGGCAGGAATGGCGGCCATGACCAGCGCCAATGAGTGTTGCCAGCTGCTCCCCCTCTCTCACAACGCCACTCTGCCCCTGGTCAGCACGACTGCTCAGTCAGGCACCTTCCTCCGCTCCCTCTCCCATCCCAACACCCTTCTGCTGTGAGCGCAATCTCGCGCCTTCTCCTGTTCCCATCCGTCGTCCATCCAACCACAGCCTGGACCCTCTTCCCTGCTGACAAACGCACCCACACCAAACGGGAGAAATATCTGGACCAGACGTCACCTGGGTACTTCTTCCCCCAAGCATACAGCTGCTTGGCATGGCTCAGCTGCTTGGCGGCAAAGGCGGGGTCCCTGGTCTTGAACAGCAGGCTGGTGGAGGAGAGGGCGGCCGACACCGCGCCGAGCAGGTCGGAGGCCGGGGTGGCCGCCGTCCAGATGTATGCCGGCCGGCTTCCCGGCTGCTGCTCCGGACGGCCCCAGTAGGCGTGGTCGGGGCCCGGATCCCCAATCTGGCCTACGTACTTGTAGTCGGCCGTGTGGCAGTCTGCGAGGTAGGTGGCCGCCAGCCGGACGTTGTTCAGGGCGGGGGTGGTGGCGCCCGCCTGCGCATAGGCTCCCGGGAACTCCTGCACGCTCCAGGCCAGGAAGGAGACGCTCACGCCCAGCGGGAAGTTGAGCTTCAGGAAGTCCCCGGCGTCATACCTGCGGCGTCAGAGTACGGTGAGGGAGCACGGTATGGTTGAAGTGACACCGGCAGCTCTTATCCCGGCATGAGCTTGGTCGAGGGAGCATTGCAAGGGTGAGCTGGACATGCTTGCGGGCCCGCAGACAGGCAGGGCGACACAAGCGGTGCGTGGTGGGCCCACCCTCACCCTCAGCAGTGACACTCACCAGCCGCCGGGCACAGGGTCATCCACGTGGGAATTCCCTCGGTAAGCAATCCTGTTCCAGGAGGGCTTCTTGCCGCTGACCTGAGCCTCGTAGAAGAGCCAGGATGCAGCCAGGGCCTGGGCAGCGGTGGAAAGGGGGAATCAAGATCACTGATAGTGCACGGCCATCCCAGAGTGGATTGCGCGAGGTCCAGAGCATCACCGGCAGCATGCACGAGGGCAAGGGGCCCCACCTTCTTGTACAGAGTCAGTGATGGGGGAGGAGGCGGAGGACTTCTTTGCGGTGGTGGTGGGGACTTCCTGGGTGGCGGGGATTTTCTGGGGGGAGGAGGAGGCACCTTCCGTCCAGGCGGAGGAGGAGGGCTCTTCATCTGGGGTGGTGGGCTCTTTCCTTTAGGTGGTGGAGGAGGTGGCGGATGTGGAGGGGGGGGAGGGGGGGGCGGAGGGGGGGGCGGTGGCGGGGGTGGAGGAGGGGGAGGCGGGGGAGGTGGGGGCGGGGGCGAGACTGAACCGGGTGGAGGGGTCCTCCATGGCGGCAGTGGAGGGGGTGAAGGAGGAGGCGGCGGTGGGGGAGGGGGAGGAGGAGGTGAGCGAGGGCGGGGTGGTGGGGGAGGGTGGCTGCTTTGTAGGAGGTGGTGGGCGATGCTTTGTAGGAGGTGGTGGGCGATGCTTTGTAGGAGGTGGTGGGCGATGCTTTGTAGGAGGTGGTGGGCGATGCTTTGTAGGAGGTGGTGGGCGATGCTTTGTAGGAGGTGGTGGGCGATGCTTTGTAGGAGGTGGTGGGCGATGCTTTGTAGGAGGTGGTGGGCGATGCTTTGTAGGAGGTGGTGGGCGATGCTTTGTAGGAGGTGGTGGGCGATGCTTTGTAGGAGGTGGTGGGCGATGCTTTGTAGGAGGTGGTGGGCGATGCTTTGTAGGAGGTGGTGGGCGATGCTTTGTAGGAGGTGGTGGGCGATGCTTTGTAGGAGGTGGTGGGCGATGCTTTGTAGGAGGTGGTGGGCGATGCTTTGTAGGAGGTGGTGGGCGATGCTTTGTAGGAGGTGGTGGGCGATGCTTTGTAGGAGGTGGTGGGCGATGCTTTGTAGGAGGTGGTGGGCGATGCTTTGTAGGAGGTGGTGGGCGATGCTTTGTAGGAGGTGGTGGGCGATGCTTTGTAGGAGGTGGTGGGCGATGCTTTGTAGGAGGTGGTGGGCGATGCTTTGTAGGAGGTGGTGGGCGATGCTTTGTAGGAGGTGGTGGGCGATGCTTTGTAGGAGGTGGTGGGCGATGCTTTGTAGGAGGTGGTGGGCGATGCTTTGTAGGAGGTGGTGGGCGATGCTTTGTAGGAGGTGGTGGGCGATGCTTTGTAGGAGGTGGTGGGCGATGCTTTGTAGGAGGTGGTGGGCGATGCTTTGTAGGAGGTGGTGGGCGATGCTTTGTAGGAGGTGGTGGGCGATGCTTTGTAGGAGGTGGTGGGCGATGCTTTGTAGGAGGTGGTGGGCGATGCTTTGTAGGAGGTGGTGGGCGATGCTTTGTAGGAGGTGGTGGGCGATGCTTTGTAGGAGGTGGTGGGCGATGCTTTGTAGGAGGTGGTGGGCGATGCTTTGTAGGAGGTGGTGGGCGATGCTTTGTAGGAGGTGGTGGGCGATGCTTTGTAGGAGGTGGTGGGCGATGCTTTGTAGGAGGTGGTGGGCGATGCTTTGTGGGAGGTGGTGGGCGATGCTTTGTGGGAGGTGGTGGGCGGTGCCTTTTGGGAGGGGGAGGGCGATGTCTTTTGGGAGGGGGAGGGCGGCGCTTGGATAGAGGAGGAGGTTTGCGCTTGGGCGGAGGGGGCTTCCCCTTGCCTACTGAAGTCGGTTGCAGACGATGAAATGGTAAGCCATGCTTGACGTCCATTCTGGGCATCCATTGCCAAAGCAAGTTTGAACAGAGACATAGAAAATTAGAAGCCTACCAAGCATTCTCAAGCTACAAGAGCTCTCCCCATCTCGCAGTATATAAAGACAGTATCACTTATGAGTGCCCTAGAACATACCTGAAGCACGGACAATGTCCTGAGCTGTCGTGGGCTCGGGAGAGGACAGTGCTACGTTGACATCTGGAGGACTCGGAGATTTCAAGATCTGAGCCTCATCCGGCAAAGTCTTAGACATCGCCGACGTCACAGCTGTTGCTTCCTTATTGTCAATTTGTATTGCAGAAGCCTATGCCACAAGATGGACGGGCGAGATGTCCTGACAGGTCACAATGAGACTGCGCAGGCATACAACGGGCACCGCGCTCCAAGTACGCGCTCTCACCGTCACTATGGCAGTCCCGTGTGCGCAGGCATATATTGAAAAAATGAGAAAGGCCGTGGATACTCCTAGGCGTCTGGGCGACATTTTGAGAGCCACTCTCCTCCAGCTGAAGTGGCGCACACTTGAACTTTTCTGTCATGGATGCCGTGCGGCACCGTACACAAAGAGCTTCCAGTGTCGAGAAAATAGCATTTAGTGTCAAAATCCTCATAGACCCTGTGGATTAGCCATGTGCACAAGGGTCCCTCCTCCAGCTCCGGTGGGTCCGGGAGCCGCACCGCACTGTCAGCAGGAGTCTTCCCCAACCCGAGGTATTGTTCCCCCTGGAAGTCCCTGCTCGTTTCACCCCCATTCTAAAACTGAAATCGGAAAGCACATATCTTGTTGTCATGTCTAGTCCCTGGACATTCACGTACGCATGCAGAAGTGGTCGACAGCTGAAAGTGTTGGGCGTCGTGCAAGGCATGAGTAGAATACACTGGACAAAGTTCACATGGAGAGAGGTGGCAAAGCATTACCGCCCCGTGACTCCAAGGCCGCACATCCCCACAGCCGCACTATTTGATGCACAGCAGGAGTCAGGCCAGGGTAATGGCGCCAGCCAAGGCTCCTGCAAACCCGGCATTGTATGTGATTGCCACTTCGTTGGTCTTGTAGTCGGATCTGAGGTCCACATACGACCCATCCCCTGAGGGCGGACCCCCCACCAGCGCCCCGGTCAGGACCTGGGGGTTCGCCCCCGCGGCCGAGAAGTGGGCCCAGCCGCACTCCGCCGGCAGGTCTGGGCACGAGGCGGCGGCGTGGTGGGGCTGACGCGGCGGGTCTACCCCTAGCCCCACCACGAAGCTCCGGCCTGTGCTACCCAAGGCATAGTTCAGCTGGTTCCGGACAAAGGCCAGCACTGACTCCCTGTCGTTTGCTGAGTAGGAGGCACGCAGCGCCATCATGAAGGCAGCGTTGGTCGAGTAGGAGAGGATACCCCAGGTGCTCCAGGTGGGGTACACCAGGCCCAGCGGGGTCCTGGTGAGCTTCACGCTCACTGTGGGGACCGGGGACGTACCGAGGGGTTGAGGAGGGAAGGTTGAGGAGGGGCAGAAGAACACTCCTGCTTCCAATGGACGAACGCCGAGACGAGGGGAGACGGGCACTTGCACCGCGGAACAGGCTTTGGTGATGGCCAGCCTCCATCGCGGCACCACCCACCCCTTGGGTACAGCAGCAGGCTTGCCTTTGGGATCCAGCCACGCCGCCTGGAATGTCGAGGTGTACCAGCGCTCGTACTCTGCCTGGCCGGGAACAGCCGCACCCTGGCTGGCGAGTTGCAGGAGCAGGTTCACCGCCGGCACGTGGGTGGAGTCCCAGCTGGGGAAGACGTCCCCGTAGCCCCCCGACGCGTTCCAGAACGCGTGGGCGTCGGCGGCGTACGCAGCCTCCCCCGTGGCCCCGAACAGCCAGGCGGCGGCATACATGAGCTTGTCCAGGTAGCGCGAGGAGGCGTAGACCTTGGTGGCGGCGGGGAACGACGCCCCGCACAGGCCTGCATCGCGATGCACATGGGGAGATGCGAGGGTGGGCGGCGTGGTTGGCTGGCTGGCTGGGGGGGGGAGGGCATGCGCGGAGGGAGGCCTCTCACCGCAACCCGCCTCCTGCACACCAGTGTCGGCCTTGGCCCAGGCGTACAGCTCCCGCGCGTGGCTCAGCAGCGCAGTGGCAAACTCGGCGTCGCTCTCCTTGAAGAGGAGGTGGCTGGAGGCCAGGGCTGCAGAGACGGCGCCCAGCAGGTCGCTGGCAGGCATGGAGTCCAGCCAGACATAGGCCGGGCGGCTGACGTTCTGCTCCTCGGGCCGGCCCCAGAACTGGTGGTCGGCGGCGGGGTCGCCGATCTGGCCTACATACTGCCGCTCCCCGACGTGGCAGTCCATGAGGTAGGTGGCGGCCAGCCGGAGGTTGTCCAGGGCCGGATTCGTGGAGGCCGTGAGCTGAAAGGCCGTGGGAAATTCCAGCACGCTCCAGGCCAGGAAGGACACGCTGATGCCCATGGGCAGGTTGACCTTCAGAAAGTCCCCCGCGTCATACCTGCGCCATGCGGGAGGGAGGAGGGGGGGTGGGAGCCGGGTGAAAGCTGTCTCGGACGCCCAGCCCAGCACGGCAGGAACTCATGAATCCCTGCATTGGATACTGATCATGACGCCAGGGGGCGATGGCGACAGCAGCATGAAAGAGCATGCCGACCAGTCGTGTACTGGCGGCGCTGCGATGCCATGACAGCTCCCAGACCCCTTCCTGTGCTCGCTGCCTGCAGGCGCACCATCCCCCTGGGACCAGGTCGTCCAGGTGGGAGTCCCCTCTGAAGTCTGCCCTGCTCCAAGAGGGCTTGGTACCGCTGATCTGGGCCTCGTAGAAGAGCCAGGTAGAAGCCAGTGCCTGGGTTGGCACTGGGGATAGTGGTCAGTGACTGGCCAGGGAGCAAATGCAGCGACAGGGCAATGCATGTGGGTCCTTCAGGGCATCCAAACTCCATTACCTCTCCATAGGAAAGAAGCGCAGGGGGCGCGGGAGGTGGGGGGGGTGGCGGTGGGGGTGTGGGAGGGGACGTTGGAGGTGGTGGGCTGGAGTCTGGAGGGCCAGAGGTTGGAGGCACAATAGCTGAGAACCTCAATCCATCTGCAAGTAGGAGGACCAGGTCTTGCACTGGCATTACACAAGTCGGATAGCTGGATCAAGGCACAAGTTGGGCAGAGTATAAAATGTGGTTGCTGCCCAGTGTTTTGCCTGCTTTGACCCACATAGCTTGGGAGCACGGCACATACTGCTCATCCAAAGCCCAATGTCCAGAACAGCACATTATGCGAGACAAAGGTGTCCGAATTCTTCTTGGTACTGTCTGGAGGTTCTCAAATGTCCCCACACGCCTGTCGGGGTCTGGGCCCTCTCGGCTGAGGACTCTGCTGACGCGAGGCGACCAGATATGAGGTCATGACGAAGACTTGTAGAGCTGTCGGATGAGACATTTGGAGCAATATGTCGTAGGTAATAACTGTTCGGTTTCGACAGAGAGGCTAGATATCCAGCAGCAACTGATTCTCTCGAGTTATTCTGCGAATGGGGAAATCCTGGGTTAAACGCTGCTGGCGAGATGGGAGGATGCCAGAGCCTCTGCACGAAACCCACCAGTTCTTCGGCCGACGATGATGAGCTCAAAAACATAAGTATTAGCAATACAAAGGCCTTGAGGTGCCCTTTAGGCATCTCGAGGTTTGTTGCGATGCGATGGTGGGTGGGGGTTAACCGTATCTCAACGGGGGGGCGCTGGGGCTCTAGAGATCGATCTGGAGGGCGTGCCAGCCCCACAAACACGACCCTGTACTATGTCATAAATATCAGTGCTAATCGACATGCGTTGCGCCCTAGACCCGAATATAATCTCTGCACAGTCGTCGCAATCAACGATCCATCGCGGTGGGGGGGCAGCAAAAGGGAAAGCACGGAATATCCTTGTTCCCCTACCGGGCTTGCGCCTGTTGCTAGCAGCTTATTCCCGCAACGGAATATCGCTGGCGCACTTTGTTGCGTCAAATGGCGACCCGGGGGGTGGGGGGGGGTGGGGGTGGAGGGA